GCACACTAGCTTGCTGCAAGAGCAGCAGAAGCATGCCATGAGATCAGCTGATTATGCTACATTAGCAACTAAGGATTTATTTATTCCTCTCATCCAAATAAGATGCAGCAAACTGAGAAGCTGAGCGTGGACGTTAGCTTTCTCCCAGGCCTGTAAGAGGCTGAGTGGCAATGTTAGGGTGATTTTGCAGAGATAAGGTACAGGGACAGTATTCACGCTCCACCACTCACAGACCGGGCTGTGTTCTAGGATCTACATTTTTATATCTTCTAGGCAGTCTGTAATTGCTAGTTAGGTTACAAAATCAGCATATTTTTCTGGGTGGCAGGAAAAATTATGGCAACTGTAGCTATATTGGCTGGTGCTGGAGGCCCCATCTTGTTCATGATTCATAGCAACATTCACATGTGGGCCTGTTTAAATCCGCCTACCTAACTGGCTAGCATTTGCACCCTGTGATGTATGTTTTCCTCCAACTGTTTGTCTGAACTTTTGAAAGATATGCTCCTAGTAGCAGTTTCAATAGCTGTCTTAGCAGGGAGTATCTTTTTCTGGGAATTTGCTGTGGGGTGGTCTGTTTGACAGCAAATGCCAGAAAGGAGTTTCCCTTGCTTGAATTGGCCATCTTCCTTTAACCATCTGTCTGGCTATAGGAAAAGAATAAACCTCATGAGTCCCTTCTGAAGGGCTTAAGTGTACTCAGAGTGACTGGGTCCTTTTAATGGTCTGAGTTTGAGAGCCAACTAGGGATAGGCACTGGATCACTCTTCAGCTCTGAAACAAAAACCTGGAATATTGTCAGATGGCAGTAGTAAAGTTTCAGTAATATAGTCAGTCTTACCAGGCACAGATTTTGCCTTACTTAATAGAGATCATAAAAGGATCAAGAAAACTTGGTAAGATCATTACTGTCTGAGATGCCTATTTCTGTTAACCACAGCACAGATACTTGACTGGCAAATAACTTCATAGTAGACAATTCACCTTCACAGAAAATGTAGTGGGAAAAATTCTATAATTTTCTGTCCTTGCTTATAACATTCATAACTAATTTGACCATCATCATACCCCTTGCTCACCAAAAGATGCCTGTCACAACCCTTACCCCCAAGGTCAGATTGGGTAATATGCCATAATTTTAACGTTTTAAAAGATACGGAGCCTCTTTTTCTAACATTCTGAAACAAAATGTCTTTTTGAATGGGTTTTGGCAATCTTTTCAGGCACATTCTCTATTGAGATTAATTGATCTCCCTCCCTGGCTCTGGATACTTAACCGTCTTTCTGCTTCATGAGCATAGTTACTGTACATTGTTTGGCTCTTATGTTCTGGCTTTGAGATTGTAATGAACCAAGGAAAAACAAGATTTCCACCTGCCTTTTGTCCACTTCTGCACAAAGATTTGTAAAAAAGTATCAGGAACAGGTTTATTTTTTTCATGATGGCTCAGTCTTGACTGGCTAACTCTTGACCTGTGCAAATTGTACAAAAATCTGACAGCAGTCTGATTTTGATCAAACTTGGAATGGAAGCTGAGAATCTGACCTTCCTGTCTCTCTGAAGAGATTACCAGTGCTTTGTTTTAGCATTCTTAATCCTATTATTGTTCATTACTTCCACACCAGCATGAGATGTCTGCAAGTAAAGAAGGCCACTACCAAATAAGAGCTGCAAGGGGTAGTCAAATGTAACAATGAATAATGTCTGAAGATAGAAACTCTTGTTGAACATATGCAAATCTAAAGCACAAATTGTGAGTTTTTGGATAGTTAAAAATTACCACTTCTTCTGAATGTTGGACAAAATGGGTGCTCTTTTCACAAAGACCATGGACTCTTGCTGTCGCACAGGATGGAAAAAAAGAACAGTTTAAAAGCACAGATGTTCTTCTTTCCTTGCCTCTGGCTCCTTTGTCCTCAGAGGTACTCATTATGAGACATCAGTGCTGGCTGAAATTTACTGTTACAGATTTGTAAAGGCTGCACAAACTATTCAAATAATCTAATCTGACCTGTTACTGCTGGGCCATCAAACTTCCCTGTGTAATTTCTGTCATGGTCATTTCTTCTGATTGATCTATAGCTTATCTTTTTTTAAACTGCTGTAACCATTAGGCAGTAGAGGTATACTCCTAATTCCTTGAGCTCTTGTTTATGTGTGTTACATGAGACAGTCATCGGTTAAAAAAATATGAATAACCATGGCAGCAGCAACTAGATCCTGGTAATCTCCTCCCAGGGGAGTGCCATAAACAGTAGGCTACAGTCAGGCACTCTCGTTTGCTGGCCTTCTGGCCCCTCATCTTGTGCACTGTTGGATGCACAGTGGTCCAGCTTCAACGAGAGGGGTGGGGAGAAACCTACCCTTGCCTACTCTACAGCTTGGGCACAATCCTGGGAAGTGGGACATAGCCATCAAACCCCCCTCAGTTTGGATCCTGACCTCAGGCATTACTTGAGAGATTTCTGGCCTCCCCGACAGTCATTCAGAAATGGGCACGGAATTGCAGAGGACTGAAAAGCCCTTCTCCAGAGAAGCTCTACTGTACTGGGCAGTCATTTTCAATAAATGCATTGTCTTTCCTAAAGGCAAACTGTAATTTTTTTCCCCAGGGGATACTAAGAACTAAGTGCTTTCCTTGATTCCAGCTTGAGAAATTGGGCTTCACCTTTTTCAAAACTACCAAAAGCCTACCAGTGCTTTAGTGAGAAGGGAGAAGAGTGACTGACTGAGCTGGTGGAGTGACTTACGAGAATACTGCAGTCCTGCCTAGGATTTTGTTTTGAAAAAATGTCACTTGTATTGTTCAAAGCACAGGACTGTGGCACACAACCCGACTGTGGGGTGGAGAATAAGCCTGTGCGAAGCGGCTAGTATTTGCTTTGGATTCAGCTGATTTGGGGGAGTGATTCGATTTAGCGATTTGAATCACTGTCGTGAATTGATTCAGCCGAATCTGACTTGAAGATTCAGCCGCTGCCAAATCAGCCAAATCTCCAAATCAAGCAGGCCCCATCCTCCGCCTGCTCTTCCAGCCCCATCAATGGCTGGCCCGCCCGGCCCCCGCCTCCCCGCTCAATGGCTGCCCTGCCTGGCCCCAGCCTCCTGGCTCTTAAAAAAAAAAAAGCCTGGCACTTGCTGGTTGCTGCCAGGTGGCAGAGGCAATCCCCGCTGCACCCCACTGCATGGGGAGACTCTTCCATGAGCCCCCATCCCCTGCCCGCTCTCTCAGCCCCAGCGTCCCAACTCTTTAAAAAAAAAAAAAAAAAAAAAGACCCTGCACTCACTGGCTCCTACCAGGTGGAGGGCGATCCCTCCTGCACCCTATTGCCCCGCACTACCATGAGCCCCCAGAAGCCCTGACCGCCACTGCAGCAGCGAGTGCAGGGATTTTTATTTATTTTTTTTTTAAAGAGCTGGGGCCAGGAAGAGCAGCCATGTGGGGGGAGGCTGGGAGAGTGGTGGGGATCAGGGGAGTGCTCAGGGGACTGGGGGAGCAAACAGGGGAAGGGGCCTGGCAGGGATCCCCCTATGGTGCCCCCCCCGCCTCCTACTTACCGGCATGGAATCTGGGTCCAGCTCCTTGCAGCAGTGAGTGGGGACTGCCAGAATCTCTGAAGCTCTCTGAATCTTTTCTGAATCAATTTGGAGAGCTTTGAATCTATTCAGACCTTTTTATTGGTCTCCTGATTCAATTTGGATTCGGAGATTTGATCACCGAATCAGGCCGAATTTCCTCTGAATCGAATCAGCACCCGAAGCTTCGCACAGCCCTAGTGGAGAATAACTGCTTTTTTAGGCATTACAATCATGGTCTTTATAAAGCTCCTGCTGGCACTAGCTGGTTTGGTGTACTCTGGGAAAAGGTGCCAACAAGGTCAACTGAAGTTGCAGTTGTGGCTCCTCTGGAACAAATGCTTCAGAATTTCTACTCCTGGTAGAAGGGACCATCGTTCACAACGGCGTTTGTGCCAGAATGCTTCACTTTTCTGTGATTAATACAAAAAGGGAGAAATTGTATGCTATGGGCAAGGGAGTAATGTGTCTTTAGCAGAGATTTGAAATGATGTGCAAAGTTGTGACCTAGGCCTGTGGACAGATGAAACATTTGAAATGTTTCCAAAGGTGAGTGTGTTGGTGCCTGATAAAACACTCCAAAGGGCAACAAAACTCTACCTGGAAGACAAAGGTGCTATTTTGTAGTTTTTCATTTTTAGACACTTGTGTATGTTAGGTTGGTCCTCGAGGCATCCCACAATGCAGTGCTCCTCCCTCTGCCACCCTTGGGCTCCCCACACCATGGGTAGTACTGAGCTCCCAAAGCACTGGGAGTTGTGGCACCCAGAGTTTTGTGCACTGTTGTGCCCACAGCAACCAGAATGCAGGCAGCCGTATTTGACTGTCCTCTCCGCTTTGTCTCCACCCCACTGGGGTGGGGGGGACAGGGGTGAGTGGAGCTCAGGGACCAACCAGCCTCATTTAGTGGCCTGTGGCAGGAGAGCACTGCTGCATGCCGGCATAGCAATTTGGAAGTGCTTTGGGTAGCAGGGGCTGTACATCTGTCTATGGATGAAGCACTCCATTCCAAAATGACCCAACAGAGAAAGCCCTGCACTGGAAAGCTGGTCTTAGTCCATCCTAACCATGCAGTTGGACCAGTACAAGATGTCAACCACAGAAATCTTTGCTTCTCCATTATTTAAATGTTTCACACTCTATTCCACTTCAAAACACTTTCAGTGATACATCTGCCTCTGCCCTAAGAGGCTCGTGCCTCACTTCGACAAGACTGTGTAAAGGGGAGAGGATTTTTAAATAACAGGGACAGCTTTGACGTGGATTGTTGAACACATGAGGAATGTGTCATCGGGTGATGTAACTGCACTCTCACACCTGCTTTTGAATTGGAAAACTGGAGAGAGTATACAAAAAGAGCATTGTCATAGTGAAAGAAAGGAGGAAAAGGTATTAAGGAGGGTTTCAGCCTAAGTAGAACTGACAGACTCTCACATGAGAATATGGCAATGATGCAGCTAAGTAGCTGTCCTAAGGCGATGGACAACTTCAGGGTCAAAGATGACACCAAGCAATAACCAAACAAGGCACAGGGGGGCAGAGGGGAATACCCTTTTTTAATGCAGTTTAAAAAACAGGAATGAAATTATTAAATTGGTTAAAGCTGCAGTTTAAATGGGCTAAAAGCAACAAAAGATGCAGAATGGACTATAATGACTGCTGATGCACTGTGACTTGATTCCATTTTGTACTGGTACAGCAGATAGCACAAAGGGCCCCTGGCTCCTGCCTGGGGGCTCTCAGACACTGTAGGAAAACAAATAAATAATAGAAGTACAGGAATGACAGAAGGACAAAGAGAGCTGGCACTGTGATATAACTAAGCTTGAGAAAGTGTCACAGGGCACAAATAATGCCTTAGAGCAGGTTGTCTTGGTGCAGAGGCTGTTACCACCAGACTTCGGAGGAAAGTGTTGATACGTATGTAGAAACAGAAACAGCAGGAAAGCAAGTATACCTGCAGAATGAGCTACAGGGCTGAAAGCAACAGCAGTGCCCAGGAGAAGGAGTAAAAGTGAATGCAAATTATGGACTCAAAAATGTAGCAGCTAAGTGACTTAAAAAATAAAGAAAAAAGGATTTAGTTTGCTTTTGTTCTGGTGGCATGACTGAGACCTCTCCTGGGAACACTCAACTAATATAAACCTGCTAGTTTGGCGAAAATTAAATTCTGCTTTCTGCTTGGTTAAAATTTTTGGAAAATACAGTAGAGGTTAACAAAAGCATAAGTTTTTAAAACATTCTTATTTCCTTCCTTGCATGTTGTAGACACACCTATGTGAGCTGTGGGTGGCAGTCTCTTCCGTTCCTGGTTGTCTAAGTATTCAGATTTGGTAGCGTAAATGGCATTTGTGGCACTTATGCACATGCAGGAATTCTGTTCCGGGCTGCATATGCATGTAGCCTAGGCATGACAATGGGCAACAAAATAAACAAGACTTGCCCCCAATCCCCACAATTGCTGAGTGGCTAGGGCAGTCACTGGAGAAGCCATCTTCTAGGTCTACCTTGCCATGGGAGGTTTGAACTCAGGTCTCTCTGATATCTCAGTACAGTACTCTAGTTATCATGTCAGAGGTCTGGCATTTCAGGCTCTTTGGTGCACCTTTTGAAGCTGAGCCACTACCACACTTGCTGGGAAAAATGGGAGGGAGAGAAAGTTTTTGCTTCACTGGTAGTAAGAGCTTAGGCTGAAATCCAGGGCTCTTTTTTCTTGGGCCAGTAACCTACTTTATTGAGGTGCACAGCCTTTGGCTTGCTTTCTTCTGGCCCCACCCCTCCCTCACCTTCTCCCTCTACTGACTTCCTAGAGGGCTAGCTTCCCAAGACTGCCAGAGAAGAAACTGGCTAAAGGCCCTTTTGTGGGGTATTAGTTACAGTGCTGTACTAGGAAGCTAGAGACCCAGATTCAAACACCTTCTGGGAATGGAGTGGCCTAGATACAGCTCCTCCAGCTTCCCAGGTGAGTGCTTTTTCCCTTGGTACAAGTCCTGCTAGTTGTGAGTTTTGGTCACCACTTTTAGGCAACTAAGGCTACTACATGTGCATAAGGGGCACCAACCAGGATGTGTACCCAGCCAATGGGTAGCCTACTGTGCCTGCCTAGTCTATGCACACAGGGGTACGTGGCCAGAAACAGAATTTGTACTGTGCCTGTGCCAAAAATTCCAAGACAGACAATCAAATCTGGGCACTTAGCTGACTGGGAAGGGACTAGAATGACAGACCTAGCCTATTTGCTTTAATCGTAGTTTAAACCAATACACTATTTTGTTCAAAGGCAATTCCCAGTGAAGGATGATACCTTGTGGAAATGTTTACACGTTAAGACATCTTTATAACATGCTAAATAATCCAAAACTGCAGAAAACATTCCTCATATTTAGATATTTCATGCATGCCAAAAGACATCAGTTCCTCTCCTTTAAATCATTTGTAAAAATAACCCATGAAGGTATGGAATTTCCTTGCTATTTTGGCACTAGAAACGGATGGATTTGTAGCCAGCAATACTATGCACCAGAAAAATCCCTCTCTCAGCACAAAAGGATTAACTTGCACCACTGCACGCTAGTATTGCAGCACATATGGCATGCGATACCACCCACTGTTCAGATATCCCTAGCACAGCCTGCCACAAGGCCAGTTGAGCTGCTGTTTCAGACCCTCAGCCCTGCACCCTCTGTTTCAGAATCTCTGTGGGATGCAGCAGGCATAGTGGGATATATTTTATTTCTTCTATATTTCTGTTCAAGTTTCTTGGTCAAAAAGAAAATGGAAAGGATGGCTTTTGGCCTTATGGTGGAAGCATCCAGAAAAGCAGCACATCTGTGGCCTTCTGGAGCAAAAGGATGTCTAGCTGTGTACAAAACAGAAAGAGCCAACAGGCACCACTTGTTGGTTCTTAGGTGCTCCTTCCTCCTTTTCTCACCTTTTGAGTTTTGGTAAGAGAGATTCTTCTCTGCCTTCTAGGGACTGGGGAGGGCCTACCTTGATCTCTCTCTCAGCATTAAAGTCCCATTGTGCTTTTAAGATGGGTTTGGTTGGTAAGTCGAGTCAAAATCTGGGGGTGGATGACAGAGAAAAGGAATTGGTTTAGAATTAGCCCATCAGGGTGAGAGGAAATTATCTTAATCTCATCTGCCATTTCTCAGTAAATACTGTTAAGGGTAAGTATATTTCTCCTGAATTTATGTGGTTTAAAAAAAAAATTCTAATAGTTTGATCCTTTTGCATTGCTCAGGGTAAAAATACCCTTTAATCTTTTTATTGTAATTAAAATTCTCCATAGTTGTGATGAGTTTACTAATGTTATCAAACCTTGCATGATTGATAGATCCTGATGGAGGCAAAATGTCTGAAGCCAGCTGCAGTGCTCCAGCCAGCGTTCCACAATCATCATCTTCAACAGCAGCATTCCTTGTTTTACGTGTAGTATTCTATTTAGTAGTGCCTAAAATCCCATTAGTCATCGTTGCTGCAACAGAACAGTTGATCTCCATCTTCACAGCCAGTGTTGTGTGTAGTCTGCTGCACAAATGAACTGTTTTATTGTATCCCCATGAAGAACTGGTCGTTGATTCCCGGTTGAGCTGTGCAAGCTTTGGCTCAGAGTGGAAAATGTTCATTGATGATTGAGTACTGTGTATTCCAGATGGTCGAGCTCTACAGGCTTCAGCAGGTTCAGCATTGTCTGGGCAGACCAGCTTGGACTGTCCTCCCCTTAAAGGAGGGAGAAGCTTGCAGTCAACTTCAGTAACCTGTTTCTCGGCTCCTTCAGCCTCAAGTGCATCTCAATTCTCCAGGTTGCCTAGATGCCCAACTGGCATTTCTGGCTCCACCTAGGCTGACATCTGGCCTACAGCCTGTTCGATGGTATGCAACAGTGAAGGGGGCATGCACTGGAATGCAGTTAATTCTCTGTTAAGGAGAAAGGTGCAGAGAAGTGCCAGAAAGGCTGGGTGATGGAAAAAATATGTTGGGAACCTGGTTCTAGCCAAACAGTGCACTAAGCAGCAAAAAATGCTGAACTCTACAGCGTCACTACAGAAAGCTCAATGTGAAAGCCATGCAATTGCAAAATGGGGACCTGAACAGTGATAGTTCATGTATCTTGGAACTATTGTTGCAGGCACTTTGCAAACCAAAGTTGCGAATATCTGGCCTCACATTTTTTAACTAAAAAAACAGATTCTGGAATAGGTCTTTGCAACAGCGGTCAACTCTAAGGCAAATCACATAGTTATAAAATGCACAGGTCCTCTTCTAGCTGTGATTCTTTTCCATTTATGGTATATTATAGTGCTTAACAAGAGATATAGGGGTCAGTGCATACTATTTAGGTTCAAAATGCACTTTATGTTGGTCACATTAAAATCTTATCTATCTTAGGTCTGCCACTCCAAAAGTGTTAACTGTATTGCCTGTTTGACATCAACAGTAAATTTGCCATTTTATAGATAAGGTCACACTCAAGGTAATAAATAAGGGGGCCTTTGCTTTTGTACTTACTTGTTACCTGAACCATAAACGAAAACACCATGAGCTCCTCAATTATTAACTAGTATCTCTTGCTTACACTGTAGTCATATGCATTGTTACATTACAGGTCTACGTTACATCTTGCTTGACTTGTACCATTACAAGACTAAAGTTCCTTATGGCCATATTGTTGAACTGTGTGTACTCTTGTTAAATGCAGCCTACCCAAGCACAGCAAAACTGAATCATAGTCAACCATAAGCAACACAACATATTTGTTCATCAGTCAGTTTGTTGTTTTTTTTAATTTGGAAGACCATGGCCATTCTCCTTTACTGCTGTACATTGTTTGTTCTGTAACTCCCACCCTTTATGACGGGGGTGGGGGACAACCTTTTTTGGAAGGCATGCCACAAATTAGCTCCACACTCTCCCCGAGTTTACTCTGATCCCCTTTTCCTAATCGCGTCCTCTGCTTTATTCCTGATCTCTTGGCTCTGGTTTTTGCTTCCAGTCCTACCTGCTGCTGTGCTGCCTGGCCCTTCCCCAATCTGCTGTGCACCCCACACACAGGCTGCCCACGCCGCTTGCCCCTGCTTCATGGTAGTGAAAGCTGGTTTCAACAACACTGCTGGAGAGTGACAATCAGTGTTTCCTATTAGATGGTTACAGTAGGAACTTTCTCACCCCTCCCAACTCCAGAGTCTACCGCTGACATTCTGATTGTCGCTAGGCTGCTTGTTCCACAGTGAGGTGTGCTGTAAGGCAATAAATAAAAACAGCTCTTTTGGAGGGTTATCTTTACCATAAGCAAATTGTTATTGCCTTCTCTTTGAAGATCTAGCACATAAACATGCAGAGGTGCGTAGAGTAAATGTCAGAGGATGCAATAATTGGCATGAATTCTTGTATTATTCCCCTGCTTTTCTCAGCTGAAGGCAGGGAAAACTGCAGTTCAAGTAGCAACATATTCAAGTACTCCAAATAGCTTGCTTTTTATGTTGAAATTATAACATTTCTTGTCTTCTTGGTTGGAGTTTCTTCGCCAGTAGAGGGAAGGGCAGGAGGAGGGCAGAGGGAGATTGTCTTGAAGTCTTCTTGCAATGTGGTCTTACATGGTTTAAATTTACTTTTATTATTATTGCACATATACTGCTCAGGGCTTGACTTATGCTTGGGGTGCCGTCTAAGTCAGCCTTATTCAATTCTGAATTGTTTTCCTTGTGAAATGGGCACATCTGTGTTATTAGTAGGACCCTGCAAGTATAAACTGTGAATAAAATGATTGCAGTGACACTGCATTTGAAAGGCTGAATCTGAGCTGCTTTGCTGACTATAGCTAGGGGGTCTACTCAAATCAAGGACACAGGCAGCCGACTTACGGGCAGATTGCAGGGCTGACCATTTTCACAGGCTTATCCCAGTGTCCCCTCCCGCAATTGGCTGATGGGCCTCAGTGGCCCTGCCTCCTGCCACTGATTGGTTAAGAAGGCTGTCTGCGATAAGGCCCTGCCCTCGCCACTGATCAGAGAGGGATGGGGCTGCAGCCATTTCCCTCACTCACTCCCCTTTGAACCTGCAGCCCCCCTCCCCCCCATCAGCATTTTATTTATAATAAGTTCTCTCCCTCCCTCCCCCCCTGTGGATTTTGTGAACATTGCCCAATTTTGCAATTTCTGCGAAACTGCTATTTGAGTAGGTCCCTAACTATAGCCTAGGCCAGCAGTTCTCAACCTTTACTCTAAAAAGGCACCCTTGGAAAATAAACAACTCTCCTGTCATGCAAGGGTCAGAATATTTTTGACACTATGGACCCTATTAGAAATCTCTGGGTTTACTTTGTGAATTGGATGTAGATGTCTGCATACCAAACAGTACTAATACTACGCACCACCCTTAAAAGGATTTCATGGCACCCTTGCTGAGAACCACTGCCTTAGGCAACTGAAAATGTTTCTGGATTCTGGTGTGGCAGAGACCATCCCGAGAAAGTAACCAGCTCTGCTGCATTGTGCCTGAGATCATCATGGAACCAAATGCCAGTAGGACACAGGTTTTATGCTACAAGAGGGTTTTTTTTAACTGTTTGCTTATCATGATTTTTTCCTGTCACTATTTGTTAACCAAGCATATTTAATTAATTTCAGTACCTCCTTCACAATAAAGGAGTAGAGAAGTTTTAACAGAACAAATAAACCTATAGTAAGTGTTATGAAATGACTATAGTTAAAAATATACACAACTTATAAAAAAATACTTTATTTGTATAAGAGTTCATTGAGGTAAAATAAGTATACAAAGCAAGTGTGCACAGTTTTGTTTTGTTTTCTAAGAGGCCCACTGTCTGGAAAGAGCCTCAAAACTGATATCCCACAATCACTCAAGCAGCAATTTCATGGGGGAGAAGAGCTGCATTTGATACATTTGCTATTCACACTAAGTGAGAAAAAAGCATTTCTGGTAATGGAGAGTCTGCCCAATGTACATTAAATAGAATTATGTGGACATAAAGGCAGCTGATCAAGATTGTAGCTGCAATTTTTTTTCCAGTCTAGATGAATGATTTGCAGTCATTTTTCAGCAAATTTAGTCTTAAATTGTGTGTCTTCTAGCTACAATTTCAGATTATTTCCACACCAAACTAAGAGTCAATTATGTCTAACCTAGACATCCATTAGGTTACTAGTTCAAGAGATCACGAGTCATTTTCAGAAATCCACCTAAATTGCCTTCAAAATAAAACAAAGCAAAACACAAATCTTCTACAGAGTTTCCTAAAGGTTGTGGCATTTAGTGTGAGATTCACAAATTGTCTTATTTCTATATTGGCCCATTTGCTGAACTGCATACAGAATACTTATTCAAATCAAGAGTCTTCAGCACCTCTTTGTAACAGACTTGTGCTGTTTTGGTATTTGGAAACTGCAGCTTTTCTAACGTGATACAGTAGAGCTTAGTAACCATAAATATCATCAAATGGCTTATGCTAGGGCAAGTAGCTGGAGTCATAATAATGTCATCCTTTTTTTTTTCTCAGTGCGTGGTCGCAATAAGCCTCTGGAAAAGATAACTACTGAGAGGTAAATGTTTCTGTCAGGTGATTGTTTTAGCAGTCACAATCTTTCCTTTGATGTCCAGGGTCAATGAAATCCTAGTACCACCATGGTTTAGTAGTAGGTATATTAAAAGAATTTCTCTGTGATCTTTCCTGCAACGGAAACAGCAGTAAAATTTATTACTCTGTCACAATAAAGAGGTATTTGTATATTCTATTGTCCCAGTATTTCAAAGGGAGTTACTCTTTAGGTTAGAGAGACAAAGTCCTATAAATATAGTTAGTGGGCCACATTGTCAAGTGGTATATTGAGCTATCCTGATTTAAACCAGGTGATGGTCTGGCACAGTATTTATAGAAGACAGTTGTGAATGAGAATTACTTGATATTCATATGACTGTCATATGCTCTTCCATATAACTTAGCATCAGTTAAAAGAGCACTTCTTTACTTCCCACGATGTGGGAGCATAGTTTCTCCTATTACTACCCTATGACAGTCACACGGGTGTACAGCAAGGCAATTACAGTTTCACTCTGTAGACATCAGAACAGTTTTTGGAGAAGAAAGGTTAATTTGTTGGGAAGAACCAAAACCAAAACTCCCCTAAATTTAAGATGCCAGTAAGTGACTATGAAATTAATGCCATAAACAGATTAAAAGCTGGTATAATGAACAATATTCTACAACCATTTTGTATAACCACATACCTTTACATGTTTTACCATAAGTAAAAAGCCAACAGTTGTTTTTGGATTACTGAGGTAGCTTCACCACCTCACAACCCCTGGTGTTCATCATCAGAACATTACAGTCTGAACCAGAGTTGACTTCAGAGAGAAAACAAGTGTTAAATTGTTCATGGGCACTTAGAAAAGGTACATCTTTTTGCTTTGGGGCTCGACTCCTGTTCCT